ACCTGCTACTTGTTTTATACTTGAACCTGGGCTCTCAGTTTATTGTTACTCTACAAAGGAGAGCAGTAGCTTCTTCCGGTCCCCACCGCGCGGGACAGAAGGTGGGCGGAGATGCAGTCGTTTTCTGCACACACGTCACACAAGTGGTCATTCAAGTAAAGAGATTTTTAAAATACTGTTTCAATGTGAAGTTTTAACATAAATAAATGTATAGTGTTGGTGCCCTTTATTTTATCAGGAGAAGCACCTTTACTTTTGGCCAGAGCCCTTGAAGTGCTCTGTGAAACAGACTGTGGCGCATTATTCTAGTTTATGAAAGGACAGTTGGAAACAGACCCGCATAGCATGAGCAGGTGCTCCGGGGAGAGACCAGGTCTCCTCCAGCTGTGGTTATGTCCAGGTCCCAGAGGGCTGGGTAGTGAGCTCACCACCACTGACCAGAAAGACGAGGCACTTGACAGTTACGTTGAGGAGCTGAAGTCACTGCAGCAGTCGTAGGTTTGCTAATGCCGCTGTATTTTTCTGCTCATAGCATGGACCCATTCATATGACTAATTTAGGTACAGGCTTCTCCAGTCAGAATGAGATTGAAGGTGCAGGATCGAAGCCGGCAAGTTCCTCAGGCAAAGAGCGAGAGAGGGACAGGTGAGTGCGTTGGAGCGCGGTCGCGTGACTGTGTCCAGGTGTCCTCGGTCTGCCCTGTTGCTCCATTGCCGTGAGCTCCCATGTTCTCAAAACTGTAACGTAGGGGTGCGTGGTGACTTGGCGGTTGACCTCAGCCCAGGTCTCGATCTCGGGGTCGTGAGTTCACTCCCCACACTGGGCTACACGCTGGGTGTGGAACCCACTTAAAAAAAAAAAAAGTAATCCATCAGTCAAAGTGTAATGCAATCCTTTGGCTTAAATAAACCCCCCGTTACCCTGGGCTTTGAGTCACTCCATGCTTGTGTCAGGCGTCGTCCTCTGCTGCACTGTCTGCAGCATGGCCATGTTCCTAAGCGTAGGCTGTGACTGAAGTCTTTTTTTTTTTTTTTTTAAGATTTCATTTATTTATTTGACAGAGATCACAAGTAGGCAGAGAGGCAGGCAGAGGAGGGGAGGGGGGAAGCAGGCTCCCTGCTAAGCAGAGAGCCCGATGCGGGGCTCCATCCCAGGACCCTGAGACCATGACCTGAGCCGAAGACAGAGGCTTAACCCACTGAGCCACCCAGGCGCCCCAGTGACTGAAGTCTTACCCAAGCTGTGTTTGCTACTTAGAATCCTAGACTATTGGGGCGCCTGGGGGGCTCAGTCGGTTGAGTGTCTGCCTTTAGCTCGGGTCATAATCCTGGGGTCCTGAGATCCAGCCCCACATCGGGGTCCCTGCTCAACGGGAAACCTGCCTCTCCCTCTCTTCATTTCTCCCCGCCTGCCCCACGCCCCCGCCGCCGCTTCTGTTCTGTCTCAAATAAAATGTTTAAAAAAGCAAAAAAGAATCCTAGAATATTATGGAGTGAGATGCTTGAATGGGGGTCCAGCTTCCATCTGGTGCTTCCCCATGCTGTTCTTTCCTCCGATGGGACTGGTCTCCCGAGCAGTGCATTGCTTTGGGCCGGGCCTGGCTAACACCTTGCGCGCTCACAGCTTGCTGACCGCTCGCAGGGTGCGGACATGGGCGGCTCCAACAGTCCACCAGAGAGGAGCACAGCCCGCGGAATCCGTCTGAAAGGCTGTCCTGGTTTCTCTTCTAACAGGCAGTTGATGCCTCCACCAGCCTTCCCAGTGACCGGAATGAAAGCGGAGTCTGAGGACAGGAATGGGTCTGGGACCGGCGCAGGGGGCCACGGTGAGTGGGGTGCGGCTGGGGACGTGCGGGCTGCTGAGGCCGCTCCTAAGTTCTAGTTGTCCAGCCTGACGTTCATTCAGGCGTCGACTCCGACTTCTAAATTCCACAAGCTAAGGAGGATACTTTTTCTTTTTTTTAGGAGGACAGCATATAGTTACACAGGCTTTTCAAATTTTGTCTAGAAAAGTTAGTCAAGTTACATTTTTTACATAGCACCATGAAAGCCCTAGGAGATGCTAACGATGGGTAGGTCATTTCCAGATTTTGTCGCTGTCTGCATTTGCTGTCTGCATCCCTGGGGATGATCGGACACAGACTCAAGGGTTGCGATTCCGGGCGCCCAGCGGGCTCAGTCTGTGGAGCGTGAGACTCTTGACCTCGGGGAGATGAGCTCAAGCTCCGAGTTGGGCGTGGAGCCTACTTTAAAAAATGATTGATTTTTCTTTGTATTGGGACCGAGCTATATCTCTCCTCATAGCTCTTTTGGTTGTGATTCATCAGCCTGTGGCTGTTAAAAAAAACGTTGCCTCCTAGTAACCCAGAATTTAGAGGAATGTGGGATCACTTGCGTTCTTTGCCTGTAGTCCTAATAAAAACGAACAGGAGAAAATACATTTTCTTTTCTTAACTTCTTTTCTTTTAACTCTTTAAAAGGTGAAGTAGCCGCCTCCAGAGACTCACTTGCTAACTTTCCGTTTTTTTCTTTTTTCTTTTTTTTCTTTTCTTTTCTTTTTTTTTTTTTTTTTATTATTTTGTGTTTCTGTTTTCTTTCTCTGTTTTCTTACATGGTTCTGGTGGATTCACATTTGCTGATGCTGGTGCTGTTTTTCGTGTGATCGTCAACGTTTTTGGGTGACCATTGACCCTGTGACCTCAAAATGGTGTCCAACTAACCACTTACAATTAACATCTTTTTTTTTATTAACGAATTTATGGTATTTTTTTTTTTTTCTGTCTCGGTGGGGGATGGGTTGGGGTTGTTCTTCTCTATTCTAGATTATCCGGTCAAGAAGATGAAAACTGCAGAGAAGGGCTTCGGGTTGGTGGCGTATGCTGCAGATTCGTCTGACGAAGAAGAGGAGCACGGGGGTCATAAAAATGCAAGTAGTTTTCCACAGGGCTGGAGTCTGGGGTATCAGTACCCTTCATCGCAACCACGAGCTAAGCAGCAGATGCCATTCTGGATGGCCCCATAGGAAGCAGCGGAACAGAGCTTTGACCCTCGGTGACTCTCTTTAGCAATAATGCATGCATTTGATTTAATAAGACTCTGGGGCCTGTACTGGGAACCATCATGGACCTTTGCAGAAGTTAGAGATGCAGTGTCCCCTTTCTTAAAGGGGTCTCTTTCTTTTTTAAACGTCCTTGTTTCTTCAGTGGCATAGTATCTTAAAATTTACTTAGAATCACAAACTTGTCTCAGAAGCTTTTTAACAGTCGGTGAAATGTGCTTGTCCAACAGAGCGTCCCAGCAGGGTCACTCCAGTATACATTTGACCTTTCCAGCCTCTTCCACATGAATGACCCCAGTTCTGACAAAAAGAAAGTTTTCTTTGTAATTTACTACTGTTTGGTCCATTTTGCTGACAACTGGTTACAAACAAAGCCTTACTATGTATTAGTGTGGAGATGATTTTAAGTCCATCCTTCCCTTTCAGCACCTTTAAAACTAAGAACAGTTCATCCTTATTTGATTTTTGCATTCTTTTCTGTTTTGGAAAATGCAGTTTTACTAATTTAAAGCCGTGGGATTTAGCTGGATCCTGCATAGGAAAATGGAGGGTTTTCCCCTTCATTATGTCTTTTTATTGGGATGATACGAAGCAGGCACCCGCAGGCTCTCTAGTCCTGGAAAGTCATTGCAGTTTTTATTGCCCTTTTCATAAGCTCCGTGTCTTCAGCTGGGTCCGAGAAAACTGCTTGATCCAAAGCAGGTCAGAACTCAGCACAGAAGTGAAACACAGTGGTCTGTCTCAGAACTGGTCGCAGCCAAAGTAGAGATTTGACTGCTCACGATAGGACGGATGGTGGACTTAGTGACCGAAATGGCAACTTGTCCTTTTTCTTGGCATGACATTACAGGTTTTGCCAAAAGAACTTTTTTGTATCAAATACTGATGTGTGAAAGGAGGAGCTAGTCTGCTGAACCAGGAGTAGTTTGGGATACGAACTGTCAGTTTTTGCACATTTGAATCCTTTGCAGGCTGGCTTTGTATAAACATATTCTCTGGTTTCCTATATGTTGTAAATACTTAGACCATAATTTCATTATAAATAAATGTATAAATACTCTGCGGTTTCTATTCTCTCTTGCACAACCTACCCGTACGCTGGGATTTACAAACCTCTCTTGATGAGTGTGACAAGATTATGTATGACCCAGCGGGGAAAGGAAGCAGGGGACTGGCAACTTTGCACGAAGTTCCTAGAGTAAGCCCTTCCGAGTCCGGATGAAGACCAGGAGGTTCCGACGGACTGCCCCCCCCCCGACGTTAGTGCCCCCCTGCGAGCGCGGTCCGTGGGGGGTGACACGCGCGTCCTTCACAACCTCTCTGGGGGAAGCACTCCCAGACGGCTGGGCAGAAGCTGGCCAGCTCCTCTTGGCGTCTGCGAGCGCCCCCCCGAAGAGCGGTGGGGGACGGGGCGCCGTGCTTGCTGCCAAGTTCGGTGAAAGCCCCTGGGAGCGCCCCGGGGCTGCCGGAGAGCGCTGCGTTTCTGGAGCCAGCACACTTGCCGCGGCGGAGCCAGTGTGGACTGTCCCGCTTGCGGCTGGGGTCCGCGCTCCCGGGGCCCCTTGGAGCCCCGGCACTGGAGCTGCGTCCGCGCTATTTCGGGGGCATTTGCCGGCTTCCCATTTCGGGTTTTGTGACAAACGGCACCCAATCCCAGTGAGAGTGCGCGCCCCCGCTTCCCGGGTCAAGACCGCCCCTCTTCCCCTCGCGCATGCGCACGTCCGCGAGCCCGGCTTCCGAGGGGGCGGAACTCGGGGGCGGGGCCAGGCGCGCGTTACGCTGCCCCGCCCCCCCGCGGTGGCGCCATCTTCCCTGGCCGCGGGCGGGGTCACAGGTCACCGGCGGATTCTCGCGTGGGGCGGGCGGGTGGGCGAGCCGGGGTCAGCGCGGCGCGGGGGCGGGAGCGGGGGTGCGCGGAGGGCCCGGGGGCTCCAGGGGCCGCCTCCTGGCCTCTCTGCCGGCGCTCTGGTCTGAGGAGGAGCCCTGAGTGGTTTCGCCGCTTTTGTTTTTCTTCTGGAAACTGCCGTCCCTGCGAGCGCTGTGCGGGGTCGCCGGCCCGACCTCCCGGGGGAAGGTGAGGGGGCGCCGGGCCGGCGCGGGCTGGGGAGGGGCCCGGAGGCGCCGTGGGTGCGTGCAGGGGGCGCCGGGGCCGGGGGGCGCCGGGCGGGGCCGGGGGCGCGGGGAGGATCCGGGGCGCGGGGGCGGCCCGGGCGCAGTGCGTCCTTCTGCCCTCCCAGGTGCGCGTCCCGAGGGACCATGGAGCCGGGGCGCCCCGCGGGCAGCGGCTGCGGCAGCCCCGCCGGCCTCTCCCGGGAGTACAAGCTGGTGATGCTGGGCGCCGGCGGCGTGGGGAAGAGCGGTAGGTGCCCCGGCCCCCGCGGGGGGAGGCTGGAGCTCGCGCCTCCCGAGGGCCGCCCCGCGTGTAACTGTGGTGTCTTGTCTCGAAGCCATGACCATGCAGTTCATCAGCCATCGCTTCCCCGAAGATCACGACCCCACCATCGGTAAGTCCCCGGGGCTCCGCGTAGTCCCCGAGCCCCCTGCATAGACCCCTGCGTAGACCCGTCCGCGCGGCGGTGCTCGGACCCGTGGGGGTTGCTTCTGCCCGGAGCGTCTCGCGGGGCCTGTGCGACGTCCGCGGACCGCCCCGGCCGCGGAGAGCGGGCGTCTCCTCCCGGAGCGTGGCGGGCCGCAGCCGTCCTAGCCGCCGCCTCTCCTGACCCTCCTCCCGCGCTGTGGTCCCGGCTGTCGCGGTCCCGGGCTGTCCGGCCCGCTGCGGGGGAACGTGTGCAGCCTGCGGTCACCGCGCTGAGGGTCTCCGGCCGCAGGAGTATGAGTCAGCGGGTTTGAGCTCCCACAGAAGGAAGCAGAAGAACTAGTCCGGCCGGCCCGGCTCCGACCTGCGGGCTCCGACCTGCGTCCGCGCTGCCCCCGGGAGCTCGCGCTCACGGCTCAGTCCCTCACGTTCCTCCGGAGCCGGGTCTCCGCGGCGCGTGTGGCACTTGGTGCTCCGCCGCTGGCGCACCACTCCCGGACGGACAGCCCTGTGTTGCCGTTTTTAAAAAGTTGCTATTTTCTACGCAGACTAAGGACATCGCTCTTCTTCCTGGACTGTAAGGAAGCGGGTTTGATTCCGAGGGGTTAGACCCCGGGATAAGAAGGGAAGTGGAGGGGGGACGTGCAGGGCATTTCAGGGCCGGACGCGGGGTCCCGGTGCTGGTGCTGGTTCGCCGGGGCGGGTATCCACTGGCTCGGGCCTCTGCGGCTCTGCTGCCCGCGCGGCCCACGAGGTGCTGCGTGAGACGGTGCGCGTTGGGATCCCCACTAGGTCGGGAGCTCTAGAAAGAAACGCAGTTGAGGACTTCAGATGATTTACTTACAGCTCCACAGATGTTTTTCCCCTTTCTTTAAAACAAAACTCATATGTTCTGTGAAAGAGCTACTTTTCTTAATCAGTTGATTTTCCCTCCAGTCGGCTGCTCTTCTGACACTATTACCTGATTCAACAGCAAACACTTAGGTGTCCTGAATTCCCGTTACGTGCCAGGCACTTGGAGCGGCCCGGCGCTCAGTGCTGAACAAAGACGCACTGGCTGGTGTCACGGGGTCTTATCATTTAGGGCCTTTTCTTCAGGGGGCTTCGTTGCAGACTGGCTGCTAATCCTGAGAAGGAAAACTGCATCGTAGCCAGTACTTGTGCGAGTGTGTGTGCAAGGTACTAGACGCACATGCACAGTATCAGGAAGCTGTGTTCATGTCGCTGCAGGGGATATGCGCTTACGTTTTCTTTGTTTCAGATTTCTGCTTATTTATTTTAATGCTGGTCGCAACCCATTAAATTCATTCACAGTTCACTAATCCTAATGGATCACGACCCGTAGTTTGAGAAACATTGGTTTAGTGGACTCCTGATCTTTGAGGAACAGTCATGAGCAGGGGTTCAAGAAAAAATCATTGAAGTGCACTGGGGCGTAAACTACGATTGTTTGAATGATGGAAATACTCTTTTTATTTTTTTTAATTTTTTCTTTTTTAAAATTTCCTTGTTTTTTCCAAGGTTATTATAATAATACACGTAAAGAAATTTCTTTTCAGATGTGCCTGGGTGGCTCAGTGGGTTAAGCCTCTGTTTTTGGCTCAGGTCATGATCTCAGGGTCCTGGAATCATCATGGTCCCTGCCCAGCGGGAAGCCTGCTTTTCCCTCTCCCACTACCCCTGCTTGTGTTCCGTCTCTTGCTCTCTCTTTGTCAAAGAATAAAATCTTTAAAGAAAAGAATCTGTTTTTAGCTCAGAATTGTAGACAAAGTCTTATAAATTTAAATTATGAGGGAGTAAACTTATATCGTCACTTAGGTGAAAAATACAAAACACCTCCATTGAAGACCCAGTGTACATATCTCAATGGATTGAGTGTGATTCCTGAGAAAACCTGGGCATTTAAAGAACTTGTGTGTAACCTACTTCTCTATAAGATGAATTTTAAAATAAGGTTACAGGGTGCCAGGCTGGCTCAGTGGATAGAGCATTTGACTTTTGATTTTGGGGTCCTGAGTTTAAGCCCCATGTTGGGCTTAGAGACTACTCAAAAAAAGAAAAAAAAAAAAAAAGATTGACTGTTCCTATATTTATGGATTTATAGTACACCTTTCTTCCCTCCTGTAGAAGATGCTTATAAAATCCGGATTCGTATTGATGATGAGCCTGCCAACTTGGACATTTTGGATACGGCTGGACAGGTATTAAATCTCCGAATGCTGTGTGTAAAGGTGTTTTCATTTGAGGGCGCCTGGGTGGCTCAGTGGGTTAAGCGTCTGTCTTTGGCTCAGGTCATGATCTTAGGGTCCTGGCATCGAGCCCTGCTTCGGGCTTTCTGCTCAGCAGGAAGCCTGCTTCTCCCTCTCCCACTCTCCCTGCTGTGCTCCCTCTCTCTCTGTGTCTCTGTCTGTCAAATAAATAAATAAATAAATGTCTAAAAAAAGAAAAAGGTGTTTTCACTCTACTAGAGGGGAGGGGAAGGCTTACGTAGAGAAGATCACCAGTGCATCTCTCTTAATTTTTCATGCTCTCTGACTCAGGATAGCAGGTAATTGATACATGTCTCTTTGCTCTGAAGCCCTAGCTAACCTGTGTGCAGCTCTAGGCTTCATTATTGCATTAATGACCCTTCCCTCCTGCAGGCAGAGTTCACGGCCATGCGGGATCAGTATATGAGGGCGGGAGAAGGGTTCATCATCTGTTACTCCATCACTGACCGTCGAAGTTTCCATGAGGTCCGGGAGTTTAAGCAGCTTATCTACAGAGTTCGACGCACTGATGATACCCCTGTGGTCCTGGTAGGAAACAAGTCTGACCTAAAGCAGCTAAGACAGGTGAGGAGAGAGCAGAAATGTGTGTGGTCTCAGATTTCACTGTATATAGATTCCTTTGCTTTAAAATAAAAACGTTAAATTAACTTCTAACCTTAAAAATTTCTCTAAGTCTACTGATTTGCAATTAACTTGGATAAAATCTGGATGTTAGAAATCAGTTTATAGGAGAAAATCCACAGGACGGTAATCAGACGACAAATGGAGTACGTGTTACATAAAGGCTCATGGAATGTTCAGTTCCTAAATCCTCAGAAAGTGATCGGTTGGTGAATCTGTGTTGCGGCGGGATGATTGTGGGTGTACTACTCCCTGACGGTGGGCACCCTGGAGGGGAGAATAAGAGAAATCGCAGAGGATTCTAGAGTAAGCCAGACTCTTCAGATTGGCAACAGTGTTTAGAATCTGGCTGTTTGGTGTAGAGTTGAAGGATGGTGGACAGCCATATCGGGACCACTGGTGGTCCCGCTACTGGTGGAAGCTGCGCAGTGGGTACAGACTTTTTGGAAGTAGTTTGACAATAGATAAGTTCACAGTGCTGCTCAATTAATGCCTGTTGGAAAAATCTCTCTAGGAATTCACATATAAAACATTTGTTGCTGGGTTGCTTTTGGTAGCAAAAAGTCAGAAAAAGTGTTCAGACTTAGGAGAAATGGTGTATCCCTAATTGAATATATCGACTTTGGATTTCTTTTAGAGTTTAAGAAAATTAAAATTACATACTTCCTATCTGTAACTACTTCCTGTTCCAGAAAGTTATGTTTTATTTTATAATTTTTTTAAGGATTTTACTTGTTTATTTGACAGCGAGAGAGGGAACACAAGCAGGGGGAGTGGGAGAGGGAGAAGCAGGCTTCCCGATGAACAGGAGCGCGGTGCAGAACTCGATCCCAGGGCCCTGGGATCATGACCTGAGCCGAAGGGAGACGCTTAATGACTGAGTCACTCGGGCGCTCCAAAAAAGTTATCTTTAAAATGGATTAGAAGTAGAATCACTTTTAGGGAGGGGAGAAGGAGGCCGGATTCAGCCTCCCACCTGAACTCTGCTCGGACACCTCCGGAGTTGAGGCGCTCTCTGTGTTCAGATAGCCCCTTTGCTTTTCACTTTTGGGGGCAGTTGTGATTATTTTCTCTGGTTTCCACTGTACATTTTCCCATGTTTACTTTTTTCAAGGTCACCAAGGAAGAAGGATTGGCTCTAGCCCGAGAATTCAGCTGTCCCTTTTTTGAGACGTCCGCTGCATACCGCTACTACATCGATGATGTATTTCATGCCCTCGTCCGGGAGATACGCAGGAAAGAAAAGGAGGCAGTGCTGGCCATGGAGAAAAAGTCTAAACCCAAAGCCAGTGTATGGAAGCGGCTGAAATCACCTTTCCGGAAGAAGAAGGACTCCGTGACTTGAAGGGAAGATGTGTGTGTTCGCCTGTGAACCGCAGGGTTTACTCCGCGCGACCCCGTGGCCTGCACGAGTGAGCATGGTGCTCGCTCCTTCTCCTGTCATGACCGTTCCTCTAAATGTAACTGACGAAGGGGGTATGCCCGGTGGGAGTTCTCAGCGACGTGGTGTTTAGAATACTGTCTTCTAGCTAATTCTGACTTATTAACCCAGCAGAGCACTGTCTACTTGTAAATTGTCACATTAGAATTTGATCTACCAACGTTTCGGGTTCTGTTCCTGATGTTAGTTAGTGTCAATGTTTCTGCCCTGGGGGAGTCTCTGCACCGAGTGTGTCCGCCGTGCGCTACTCCGTGTCTGTTTCAGCTCGGGCTCCCCACACCTTTCCGGGGAAGGGCCTCGCTTCTCCTCACAGGTGCTTCCCGGACACACAGCAAAAACTACGGAGACCAGGTTCAGGGTGTCGCTGTGGAACTGCTTCCTGTTACAGATGAGGGACTGATGAGATCAGGGACACCAGGCAGCAGAGGGGGGCGGGCGGGACTCCACTAGGGAGAGGTGGCGGTGGGACCATGTTCGCAGTTCAAGCCTGGCTGTCCTAGGAAGTGCACGTTCCACCCACACGCACTGAGGTGAGGACAAGCAGAAGCGAGTGGAACGTGTGAAGATTTCTTCTGGGAAGTTACTTTGTTCTTCCTTTCAGAATTTAGCCCTTCCTTAGTGTCCGAGGCATCGGCTTTGGGAGCCATTGCTGGATCACTGAACTCTGGTTCACACCCTTGGTTGGGGCAGCCATGGCCTGGGGCAGGTGGATTGGCTCCCCCAGAGAGGCGCGCACTGGTTGGGTGACCTGAGTGCCTCCCAGCACTTCCCTGTGCTCTCCCGCAGAGGAGGCCCTGCGGGATGATTTCTCAGTCCTTCGTCGACTGACTGCATTGTCCTGTCCGTAAGGAAGCGACATCAGGAGTTAGAGTAAAGCTCTGTACGTGCCTCAGCACAGACAATCACTAGACTCCATGCTCAGAGAAGCCTGGGGCGTCTCTGTGCTGAGAACCAGGTGTGAAGCTCTAGAATTCCTGTGTGTGGAGTTTCTCACTGCAGATTTCTGTATAGGGACCTTGGGGAGTTCACTGCACAGTGTCTGAGCCTGGACAAAACTTAGCCTCAGAGAATACCCCCTTGATGGTTGTGCGTGACTGGGAAACTAGTGTCCTGGGAAGGAGCAACTGTATGGGTGGTGAGTTCGCTCTGTCGAATCAGGATTCTTTTGCCGTCTGGACTTAGCGGCATGTGGAGGCGACGTGCAGACTGGACGTTAAGTGTCCCGGACAAGTTTGTGACCATCTTAACCCTGAAGAACGTGGCCGCGGCCTCTCTTAGCACACACCTCGGCTCACTGCTTTCCAAAACTGCACGGGTGGGCGGAAGGACAGGGTTGTCGTGTTTTTTCCTCCTATTCAAGGTGATGGCTGTTCCAGGTTTAAAGAGGTGATGGTTGCAACTTTTTTAGCAAGGTCATGGTCCCTTTTGAAACCAAATAAATCGTGTTTTATGGTAGTCGGGCTATCCAGTCGTGAGACTCAGGATTTGAACCTATGCAGGACAGAAATCTGATAGGAACCCCAGCACTTTAGGGATCTGTGGCAGTAGAAAAGAAATGCAGTGCAATTCTATTTTAACAGTATTTCACCACATTCAAGTTAGCTTAAAGCCTTTTACACATAATGTCTTAACTTCTCGTTACTGATGACTGAGGGAATTGTAATTGGCGTCCGGCAAGAACTTGACAGGTGTGTGGTCATTCAGGACATTAAAGGCAGCAGAGAACATCACCGGAAAGATGGAGGGAATTTGTACTGTGTATGAGAAAAGTAACAAATTTGTGTTTTTAAGACAGTCAGGGTCCTGTATTCGAATGGTCATTGGATTAATTAGCCCATTAGTATTGAGAATTCTATTTATGGTGCTAAATAGTTCGAGGGGGGATGATGTCTGTAGGTAACAGTTCTCTTCTTAGTGACGGTAAGTGTGTAACTTACGAGCTCTGAAGCGTCAGGTTTATCTGGTCAAGGGCATTAAAATCAATTACTGCCTGGAACGTCGGAGAGAGAAACGTTCAGGGACACATTGGAAAGCAGTGGGACTGTCGATGCCTGCGCCCGATTGTTAAGTTAGAAAATTTAGACGCTCACTTCTAGAATGAACGGTTAGATTTCAGGAGGGACATGTCTAACTTTGTCTTCTTTTAGCAAGAGTTGGTCTACTGTGATGTTTGGGGGCGGGAGAAGGAAGAGCGGCCTTTCCCTTCTGCGCGTGTACGTGAAGACACTTTATGTGACGCAATACAGAACTTTCAAACAACTTGTTGGGCTTCTCCTTTACTTACCTGTGTGTGGGTGGAAATGCTTGGAATCAGTGCACAGAGGTCATTTTAAGAAAATTGAATGCCATGAGATTTTATGTTCTGGAAAATACTGATTCAAAAATGTGAGCGCCCACCATGTGCAGAACACCTGCGTCGAGTGCGAGGGCGTGTGCCGCGGGGCACCCCTCGTTCAGACAGAGGCTCTGCGTCTCGGGCCGGCGGGCAGGCTGTAGGGAGGTGGCGCCGCGGCCCAGCTGCCGGCGTCCCGTGTGAGCGTGAGTGGGGTCCCACCGCTCCGGGACTGGACTCCGGTTCCGCACCACGGGCTCTGTTCCCTGTCCTGGCTCTGGCAGCCGGGACGCTTGGGGGGCCTTGGCGTTTGGCCAGGCAGAGGGAACTGCCACGGCCTGGGTGGGTGCGGGGCGGGAGGGGGCTGGGCAGCGGCCTGAGCAGGCCTGCTGAGACCCCAACGTGCGCAGAGAAGTGGGGAGACAGGAAACACACGTCGGAGATGATGGTGTGTTTGCCCCCTGATGGAGGGTGGGAGCTGTTTCAAGCGTGGAAAGTAAATGTGAGACTTCGTGTCACTGCTTTATGTGCAGGTCAGTGCTTTTGTCTCAGCTACTCAAGATGGGCACCAGCGTTTGGGGAGAGGACTTCATGTGGACGTTAAAGGGATGTGTTTTTGTGTCGTTACTCGTGTGGGGCAGGTCAGCAGCGGCCAGCGGGTCCACTCCTGAATCGGGTGGTGGAGGGCGGTGTTCCCGGGCCTCGGCCGGCCCGTCGGGGAGGCGCGGATTCCGTCAGTGTCCATGGCCACCCCTGTGCACCAGCGGGGCTGGGCCTCGGACGCGTGGACGGTGTCCCTGCCCTTGAGCTTTGACAGACTCGGCATAAACAGCTGGAGGTTGACGTGTCAGAGGACCTGCTTCGACTGGGGATGCTACAGGACTTCAGAGAAGGGAGGACCCTGGAGGGCTGGGTCCAGCGGGCGATGAGCGTGAACGGGAGAGCAGGCAGGACGAGGAAACGCCGAATTTAACCCCCACCGGGTAACAGAGAAGTTCCACGCGAGCTGATTGCTGAAGTTTCTCCTCACTTCCCGTGTTCATTGCTTGTTTTCTTAAAAAAAAATTATATAAATTTAGGAAACTCCTGACAAGTAATTGGTAGCGTTGCTCCTTTTCCAGCCTCCCTGGGAAGGATGACAAAGTCAAAGTCTTTTTAGGAGTCCGTGTCACCTGGACGAGCGCTTGGCTTCGGAAGACGCTTCGGTACCGAAAACGGATTTGCAGTCCTCCTGGGGTTGTTCTGCTCCAAATTAAAGTTTGTAACCGGGCGCCTGGGGGCCTCAGTGCGTTGAGTGTCCGACTCTTGGTCTGGGCTCGGGTCATGATCTCGGGGGCGGTTGGGGCCCCCGTGGGGCTCTGCGCTCAGCAGGGCGTCTGCTGGGGATTCTCGCCCTCGGCCCCGCCTCGCTGCTCAAGCTCGCGCACTCTCTGAGCTAGAACCCAGTCTTTAAAGGATGTGCTCGAACTGTGTTCCTGCGTTCGTCGCTCGGCCGGAACCGAAACTTGGGGCCTAGCCTCACAGGGAAGTAGTCAGAGGCCTGAGTTCTCTCATGAAGGTCCCTCGCCCTGACCTCACCTACCTCTGTCTGCTTTTGCTGCACAAGTTCATTTTGTCTTTCTCTTCTTCCCGCTAAGAACTGTGTTAAATAATGAGGTACAGCGTAAATTAGAATAACTGAGAAAATAGGGTATCTGTATTTTACTCAATCTCGGACAGGTTTTTCTCTGTGGAAGCTGGAAGCAGAGTCTCGTTGTTCTTCCTTGGTTTGCCAGTTCCCCGGGGCTCGGGGCTGCGCCCTTCCCGTGTGCCCGGGTTGTACCCGCATCGCGGAGAGAGCGAGGGCCACCTCTGCTCCCATCTGCAGAAAGCACCTTGTCCTACGACGAGCAGAGTGGGCTTGCTGCTTGTCTGCTGCACAGGACCAAGCACGGTCTGGAAAGCAGGATGGATTTTAGATTTTAGGAAGGTGCAGCCAGACAGCATAGGTGAGTCAGGCTGTGCTCGGAGCCTTGCAGACCTATTTCCGTCCAGATGGTCGGAGCTGCGCCGGGACTAGCTGCTTTAGGCTGACATGAGTCTGGACGGAACCAAAGACTCCCGGTACATGGTTTCTGCTCCCAGGAGTGTACAATGGATCAGGAGGCAGCGCAGTTCATATGCAACAAAATCCATGTTACATCGACTAATTAAAACATAGAAGGATTTGGATTAAGTTGGTAGGTAGAATTAGGCCGTGAAGATTTCTCCGTAAGCGGAGACGCGTGACTTGGAACCACAGAGCAGTCGAGCATCCTGTGTAGGACGACTCCAGCGCGGGACTGGAGAGTGGGAGAGTCAGGACGGTCCTGGGTAGGCAGGATGAGCACGGAGAAGCCCGCTGTGCCTCAGAGCATGCCGCAGGACACCCACGGGGCCGGGCTGAGTGCTCGGGAAGCCCTGAGGGCCGGTCTGAAGTGTGCGCGGCCCCCAAGGGCCTGTCTGCTCTCTGGATCGGAAACGGCTGAGATTAGTTCTGGGCTTTTTCCTGCCTTATCCTCTGGAGATTCTGATTTGATGGATTCTGATAGGATCCAGGAATCTAACTGAATCCCAGAGGATCATGATGGCAGCCATGCTGCCTTGAGTGAGCCAGATGCTGAGGGCCCTGCCCGGGCTTCAGAGGGTGCTGTGGAGCCGTGACAGGTGGTGGTCACCCGGTGCGGAAACAGAAGAGGCTCTGCCCGAGCGGTATGTGGTGGCGCTGAGGGTAAGCGGGAAGAAGATGCAGGTTTAAACCAGGGCTGTGGCTGGGGCACAAGCAAGAAAAATAAACTACCTTGTTAGGAA